TTATTAAAAAATAATGTCAAGAGGAAAAATGAAAGTGTACTCCTATGATTGGGTATATTTTCAAAGTGTGATTCTTTATTAGGAAATAAACTAAAAGTATAATGTTCTAATGTAACCAAAAAAAGTAGAATAACATAATACAAATAAATAAAAGTATGTTGTTACTTTCTTGCATTTATACCAGGTGCAAATTGATTTATTTTGATAAAAAATAATTGTTATAATATGAAAATGAATATTTCACACTACCATACATATTGTAATAAAAAGAAATAAAAGCATGATGCTACATTAAACAAATCAAAGAAAAGTACATTATTATTTCTTGCATTCATCCATAAAGATGTTCTAAAATTTTACTTCAAAATTCATAAATTAGATAACTTTAACCCCCATATATCTTTTTGTAAATTGATCCCCTATTTGCATATACCTTTGCTACTAACGATGATCAAATGAGTTCAAGAAACAAACCCGATACATCTTCTTTGCCACGAAGCCACTGGAGGACAACTTTAGCCTCGTCCATCTTCCCTTTACTCACCAACCATCGAGGAGATTCAGGCAAGAAAAACAAAGTTAAAAGAAAGTACGAAACAGAAGGTAAAGAGAGGACCCCAAGCATCATTCTCCAACTGGCATCGGATTTTAATGACATAATGAATACCATAGTGTACGCTAAACACATTCCAATACTACCCGTAAATTGTGGAAGTGTATTCAACAGCCCTCTAATGTCTGATGGGGCTGTTTCAGAGATATATAAGGGCACAAGTGTCACAGCCAGACCTATCCCAAATCCATCAAGAAGTCTTGCTATTAGCAAAACGTAAACATTTGGAGACCAAAACATTACTAGACCACTAGTGAAGTAAAACATTGAAGAAATTATAAGCATTGGACGCCTTCCGATGTTGTCTGATACAGGTCCTGAAAATGTTGTGATAACTGTTGCACCGATTAGTGACATGGCTACAATTAACCCTTCGATTGTTGGTTGTGTTTCTAAATGGAATTCCTTTTTTGATGTAAAGAACAGCTCCTGCATGCATGCATGCACTATTACGTTACGATGAACATCGTGGATTTATAAATGAAATGACGAGGTTATATAATACGTACCTGCAATTGTCGCATTATCCCATCCTTGCAACATGTTGCCAATGGCGGCAGCAATTGCTACATACACAGCTCCCTTCGACGACATCTTGCTTTTTTACACAATAAAGAACGGATTCTTCAAAGATTTGGGTTTGCTAAAGAAACAAAATTAGAAGTACAATCAAAGAATTCCATGAAAAAGAACAAAAATTCTAATATAGTGTAGAAACTCAAAAGGGTACCTCAAGAATAGATGAGTACTGAGGGATTCAACAAGTTATGTATGGCATCCCCATGATGATCTTTACGAGAAAATGCAATGAAACAATTTTTAGGGCTGTTTGAATTGCATCAAATTCACCTGTGAACGATCATATGTAAACAAATATATGTTCATAAAGATTCAAAGAAGAGGCAATTCAGGCAATGCTGGTCTAGTGAAGCACATTTAGGAGAAGTCCCATCAGAGATCTACCCACATTATCATAAAGGAAGAAACGAAAATGGAAAATTTTGTGTGAAAAGTTGTGCTTTTTTTGATTTGTTAAGAGTGAAGATAAGAGAGAGAAAGAGAGGGGGAGATATGGGGGGAGAAAGAAGAGGGATGAACTTCTGGTCCCTGGTCGTAACAAATACCAGTTCTTGAGGGGTTACATGTGGAGTCCGACAAACATGGTATTCATTGGCGAATGATGATGTGTAATAATTTCATCGAGGTTAAAGGGTCCTACCTTTTCATATGGAGATCCTAAATTTAATCATACCTCTCACATAATTAAAATGGAAATGGGATGACACATCTCATGGGGAATTAAGAACGAACGTCCAATTTGTCCTTTCGCATTCATATTTAACTAAACTATGTATTAGATAATCACGTATTGACTTGTTTATATTAATATTAGGCGAATGTCCGCACGTTGTGCAGGAAAACCTATATAGTTGAAGTGTTTAAAAATATATGTTTTTTTTAAATATAGCAATAACGTTGTTGTTAAATTTGATATAATAATTCGTATAATAAATTGACTAGTAGCGTACTCGCGTAATGCGGCGGCGACAATTAGTTTCATAGCAGTGAGTCGTTTCCTTTTTTCTTACAATAGATATTTATGTTTATTGAATTGTGTTTTTCCGATAGAAAGATAATATTTTTCATTTTGTAATTGTCATGTTCAAATTAACATGCTATTAGTTTTCTTTAGGCTAGTTATTTTAAGGTTAAACATAATGTACATTGATGTTTGTTGTTAAAAACAAATTTATTTTATTTGTATATTACATTTTTAATTTGTTTTATTTGTTGTATATTGTTATTCTTAAGTTTTATGACATATGATATTACAAGTAAAACTTACATTAAAATATAATTAATTTCTTTTAGGATGATTAATTATTACCTAAAAGGTTTAGTTTTTTTTGGTTTTGTTTATATATTTTATACTAGGTGTGAGACCCATGTATTACATGGGTTTAATTAAAAAAAAAAAAACAAATATAAAATTTTAACAATTTGAAAAGTTTGAATTTATAAGAAAAATGAGAAAAATTTGAATTATTAAAATTAATGAGACTTTAATGTATTGAATACATTAGATATATAAACTCTTTCTAATAAATATTTTACATATATATTATCTTACACATTAAATGTGGAATTTTAATTTAATAAAATAAAAAATACAATAAAATGACAAGTGGAAAATAGAAATTTTAAAAATTTTAGAAAATGCCATGTGTCCAAATGAATGAGAAGAGGACATGTGGCAAAAAAAAACCTTCATTTATTATAGGAGATTGATAAACAATGTTATTGATTTAATACCACATAAAAAATTATAAATAAATGTACTAAGTATTAGGAGCGTCAATGAATGATCCTTCAAAATTAACCAGATAAGACATCAAAACAAATGGCAAAATTTTCCGGTTGAAGAAAAAATTAAGGATATTTTTGGTTCACTGATTCCAAAGGAATATAAGGGAATTAGAATGGATATTTCATTATTTTATATTTTTGGCTATCAAATAAGTTGACTTGGATTCCAGTAAGTCTATGTGGTGATTTTCAAAAAACATCTAAATACTAGTTCTTGAGAGGTTACATATGTAATCCAACAAACATGGTATGCATTGGTGAATGATGATGTGTGATAATTTCATGGAGGTTAAAGGGTCCTACCTTTTCATATGGAGATCCTAAATTTAATCATACCTCTCATATAATTAACATGGAAATGGGACGACGCGTCTCATAGGGAATTAAGAACAAACGTCAAATTTGTCCTTTCGCATTCATATTTAACTAAACTATGTATTAGATAATCACGTATTGACTTGTTTATATTAATATTAGGCGAATGTCCGCACGTTATGCAGGAAAACATATATAGTTGAAGTGTTTAAAAATATATGTTTTTCTAAATATAGCAATAACATTGTTATTAAATTTGATAAGATAATTCGTATAATAAATTGACTAGTAACGTACCCGCGCAATGCGGGGACGACAATTAGTTTCATAGCAGTGAGTGGTTTCCTTTTTTCTTACAATAGATATTTATGTTTATTGAATTGTGTCTTTCCGATAGAAAGCTAATATTTTTCATTTTGTAATTGTCATGTTCAAATTAACATGCTATTAGTTTTCTTTAGGTGGGTTATTTTAAGGTTAAACATAATGTACATTAATGTTTGTTGTTAAAAACAAATTTATTTTATTTGTATATTACATTTTCAATTTGTTTTATTTGTTTTATATTTTTATTCTGAAGTTTTATGACATATGATATTATAAGTTAAATTAATATTAAAATATAATTAATTTTTTTAGGATGATTAATTATTACCTAAAACGTTTAGTTTGTATTTGGTTTTGTTTATATATTTTATATTGGTAAACAATGTTATTGATTTAATACCACATAAAAAATCATAAATAAGTGAACTAAGTATTTGGAGCATCAATAAGTGATCCTACAAAATTAACCAGTTAAGACATCAAAATGAACGATAAAATTTTCCAATTGAAGAAAAAATTAAGGATATTTTTGGTTCACTGATCCCAAAGGAATATAAGAGAATTAGAATGAATATTTTGTTATTTTATGTTTTTGGCTATCAAATAAGTTGACTTGGATTCCATCAAGTTTATGTGGTGATTTTTGGGGTAGGGGTGATAAAGAATTAACTTGTGTTGAATATCCAGATACAAGCTTACCTTGACACTCTAATGCCATGAGAAAGAAGTAACTTATGTTGCACATTCGCCAACATTCCATTTTAATACGTATAAACTCATAACAGCTCACAAATATGATAGAAGCTTCACTTATAAAGTAATATAATAGAGATATCAGCTACGATGAGGAGATTAGCAATGTTGTTTTCCTGGACTCCTTATATAAAAGACATATTACATTAATATTACCAACACCAAGTAAGATTATATAAACATTTTATCTGACAAATAACAAGTCTAATGTAAATTAAAATAACATTATCATCACAATATTCACGCTTCTGAAACAATACAATGTAAACATTAGAAACATAAAAAAAAAATATTAACCGAGTTAAGATTATTAATATATAAAGTATACAATGGAAGAATCAAACAACACATAAACCTTGAAAAACCAATAAACACAATTGGTATAAATAATGAACTATATCTTGAAGATTTTCAAAATCAACCAAAATTGAACTCAACTTATACAAATACAAGACAAGCAACAAAAAAACGTATCAGTACAAATCATTAAAAACATAAACAAAATCTTGAATCCAACAAAATCTATTTTTTTCCATCATAATCAAGGATGAGATGGAGAGAGCATGGGTAAAATATCTTCTTTTAATGAAGTTTTTTCGATCATGGTTACATAGGTACATAAATGTCACAGGAATAGAGTAGTTTTAAGGAAGGAAACCTGATTAAGATCAGCTGTAGTGATGATATCAAAATCTTTTGGTGTTCTATTTACAAGTAAATGTCTCACGCAACCACCAACCAAGTAGGCTTCAAATCCTGTAAACAAAAGCAACTTTTTTTAGCTTCAAACATATGAAGTAAAGAGAATCACTGGTGTGATAATTATCATAGAACATAGAAAGAGTGATAGTCATGTCCAAAAAAATAACTAATAAGTATTGCTTTTTTTTTTTGTGTGTGTGTGTGGGGGGGATGCATTCTCATAACCCTCTACCGAGTTACAAAAACATCCTACACCCATATTACCTACAGATGAAGGGTGAAAATTTGCTCTATGAAAAGTAAATGTAACATGCATAGAAGTAACATTGGGTTTGGAGAATCTTTAGAATAGTACAGGGAGCCGAGGGGACCATTGTTTGGCTTATCCCTAAGGATCTGAAAGCCATATTTTTCCATTTAGAAATATTGATTTCACCTAACAAGTATCATTAATCGCAAGTAATTAAACTCAATTTCACCAATCGAAAATGGGCACAAACCCAAGAAGACAATTACGAGCTTGGGCAAACCATTTTAACTTTAGGTTAGAAACATGACATGCTCCCTCAGTTCCCATAAGGAGCTACACTTTGATTTGGATGTCTTTCCCCAAAAAGATTTTATTAGCTTCATACAGAGTCATATGAACAGGTGAACAGTTAATTTATGCACCTATCGATTAGGCTGGCATGTTCAGTTGATGTATCAATGGTCACTTTTTTTCACCAAATGTGCACTTCACAATAAAGGATTGAATTTGGCATTAACACTTACCGGAAGAACTCTTCAACCACGTGTTTTGTTATTTAAATTTCATGAATATATCTTGTTAGTAGCTCCGTTTCATTGAACATAGATGTATAAGGTTGTAGGGAAGTGAACACCAAAGTCATTTAACTTACAGCAATCTAATGACCAACCTGATACAGTATCTAAAACAAACACCAAACATTTAATTTAGCAGCTACCACATATAGTAATCATATTATCATGGATCGTTCTCGAGTTCTATCATAGAGAGACCTACAGTTGCATATATATATATATATATATATATATATATATATATATATATATATATATATATATATATATATATATATATATATATATATATATATAACTACAAAGCTTATATACATAATAATTAACAGGAAATAAGTATGCCACATGAAACTACTATACGAAAAAGTTGAATGATCTCATAGGCATAACAACAAACAGGTGGAGTGCAATATTCTCAGGATTTAGAGAAACAAAAATAATATTAGAATCACATCCTGAAATCTAATGAATTTATAACAGAATTGAAGAATTGAGCACATCTATCTCGGTGGTTGTGTATGAATAAACGATTGACTCCGAAGTAAAGTAGATAGAATAGAACCCATAAAACAGGGTCTGTACCAATTCACATCACTTAAGTTACAGATTCGATGCATCTGAAGAAGCAGAAATAAAGGAATGACTTTTAATGAACTCACCAATGCTATGGTGTTTCTGCACCACTAGTCAGCTCTTCCATCAAAAAGCGAACGGAAACCCGCAACACATACAACCTTACAAATATTAAATAGATTTTCCTAAAACTCAAATCGAGAAAAAGAAACCCACATACATACAAGAAAATATGTGGGGAGGGACATCAATTTATCGATAGAAGGTCTAGGAGGTAACAACGGCATCAGGAGGGTGGAGGTAGCAACGACGTAAGGAGGCTGGTGGTTATGGAGGCCTGTTGGAGATCGAAGAGGGTAAGGAGGGAGACGTAAGAGATTTAGGAGAAATGACGGCTGAAGATTTTAGAAGATTTTATAATTATCCAAAATCTAAGACCGTAATAAGTTACAAATGAGATGCGTTTGCATTGCAAGCTTAATAAGATTGTACATGGTGTTATAATAGTTGTACCTCTTAATTTTCAAGAAACATCTAATATGTTTTATATAATAGTAAAGATATAATATATTGATTATTTTGAATTATATGATAATATATACATCTATTATAACTGCATAATCCCAATCGTTTGAATGACTTCGACCCGCGAGTCACACATGAAGAAAATTAAATATAATATATGGTTTAATGTTATTTATAGTTGTTGTTATTGTTAATTAATTTTTTAAAATTATTTGCATAATATTTTAATTTCTATTATTATTTGTTTTTTGAACAACAGCAAATTTTATAAAAAAAACAAAACACTCTAGCAAGAAGCTAGAGAAAAAACAAATTACATCAGAATTGGGTTTGCATCCATATCGTCCAATTGTTCATATCCTTCAAATTCCTAGACATAAACCAACGGAAATAAATCTCCATAATAGAATCAAAAAGTCTATCTTCTCTAGGCTTAGAACTACTAAAAAGTAAAGCATTATGATACGTCCAAAGTACCCATACAACTACCATAAACATTGATTCAACAATCACCCGCTCCATACGAGCAATAGGTCTAGCATCCATCCACTCCAACATAACATTAATAGAGGTAAAATCCGGAATATCCAAATCTAATCAATGGGCAACCCATCTCCAAACCGGCATCGCATCTGGACAAAACAAGAAAAGATGATTTACACTTTCTTGTGAATTATAACACACCGGGCACAACAAGGAATCTAACTCCACCCCCTTTCAACCAATTTGAATCTAACTGGGATATGATCCAAGATAACTCGCCACCAAAAAAAAATATTTTAATTGGAACATATCGGTTCCATCTAGTAGGAGAACTACCTAAAGGTAGTCTCATATCATCAACCCAATTCTTTGTAGAACTAACAGTAAAACTACCCGAAGGATCTAAATCCCAATTCCACTTGTCAGTTATCACCTCTAACCGAATAGGAAAAAAAAGCTCCACAAGATCATCAAATTGACTCGATTCAACCCCTCCTCTAATCTCGCGCCTCCAATGGAACGTCCACCCTACCGAAGACCAAAACTCACTAACCTGAGCATCTTGATTGGTAGCCAAAAATTGTTTTTTTATTTTAAATGTAATAATATAATCATTTATATAGAGTTATTTTTAGCTATTATTATTGTAAGTTATTTTAAGCTACTTATTTGAAAATTTTTAACTATTATAAAAATATCTTTAGGAAATATTTTAGTTAAATTGAGATTACAATTTAGTTTTTGTATTATCACTACAATTTATCACTTTAACTACTTACAAAATATTCTTTGGTTTTTTAAATGAAACTGAAATTTATATTTAAGTTAACATTGTAATGTTATATTCAAATTAACAATTTAAGTATTTTGTCAAATATGTTCAAAAGTTGTAGCTTTAAACTGATAATGGTTTATACACAATAACATATTAAATCTAATAAATTAAGTATAATATGTTAAAAAATAAAGACTTAACTTTATAAGTAGAAGTAAAGATATTATTTTAAAACTGAAATTTAGTATATGTATGATTACACTTTATGTTTGATATTTACTTAACCTTATTAACTAACTTATAATCATTATTAGAAAGACATTACAATTAATCACTTTAAACTATTTACAAAATATTCTTTGGGTTTCTTAAGTTAAACTAAAATTTACATTTAAGTTGACCATGTAATGTTATATTCAAATTAATTATTTAAGTATTTTATACAAATTGTTCCAAAATTAAGTACAATATGTTAAAAGTTATTAAAAAAAACAAAAAACAAAAAACAAAAAAAAAACTATATAAGTAGAAATAAATATATTATTTTAATATTGAAATTTAGTTTATATATTCTTAGATCATAAATTGTGGTTTATACTTTGTTTTTCATAAGCTTATGGAGTTCTTAGTCTATGACTAAAAACACCATGTTTTGGTGTTGTTTGGACCAAAATCACGTGTGATTTTTGTTAGGCTTAATATTGATTTGTTTGGATTTTGGTCGTGGGCTTGGTTATTAGGTCTAGGTATACATAGTATTATTTAGACCTTGTAAAGAGTGTTGGACGTTCAAAGGGGCTGTCATATGCCAAGAACGAGATCTAGAGAGAAAATAGTGTGTAATCGGAATCTTATGTATCGGATGATTAATCAATATATCGTGTGCATTGAAAATTAATTATCTTGTTCTTATTCATCTTTATCTTGTAGTATATACACTTTGATTGGGATTCCGCGCCATCAAAGTGAATCTGATTGATACGTAGAAGAATTCGGTACTTACAAGTGGTATCAGAGCTTGGATTGGTATCAATCGGGTCATTGCAAACATTTTTTCCCTGTGGTTTCTTGGTGTTTTTTATTTATATTTTATGCATTTTTGGCCATTGTTCTTCGTGTTCTTCATATTTTTGGTGTTTTGATTGAGTTTGTGGTTAAAGATTTGAATTTCCCGTGTTTTTGGCAAGTTTTGGGCATTTTAGGTCAAGATTTGCGAGATCTAGGCAGCAATCCTCGGTCACAGTCAAACCCTAGAAGGTTCTCAGCGGCTAGCAGCAAATTTTGGAGGCACAACATAGTTTTCAGACGGATTCACACGTTCTTGGTTCCGAAGTCCTCGGCCTCGTTCTTGATCCGAAGCTTCGGAGTTTGTGGTCAGCTGTTCTCACTTTGCTGTTTTCGGTCTTCACTTCTTAACCTCGCGATTTTGGTCTTCAGCAGGGTTCTCAGTGCGAGACTTCTCGGCCGACATTAGAAGCCTCATAAATTTCGCCTATAATTTCGGATTTTCAAGATTTTGGCTATTTTGATTTTCTAATTTATCTTTTGACTTTCAAATTTGACTTTTGACTTTTGACTTCTAAATTTGACCTTTGACTTTAAAGTTTTCAAGTTTGACTTTTAGATTTTACTTTCAAGTTTGACTTTTTTAGTTAGACTTTCAAGTTTGACTTTCGAGGTTTTAAATCAAAGGGCCCTTAAAACAATTACAATTTTTGGTAAATTATTCTTTTTGGTGAATAATGAGTTCATCAATCACAAAAGAAGTCAATGAAACTTCCTGTTCTCAAGCATGTAATGATACAATTAAACTTTATCGTGATCAATATGATTTATTAATTAGGGAAATTGAGGACCTTAACTATGAAGGATATACTCTCAGAAATTCCCAAAAACCCTTAAACCACCAATTAGAAGCCCAGACAAAATATTTAAAAAGAATAAAGGAAGAATATAGAATTAAATGTGAACAATACAACTATGCTCAAGTATAGATTGCCAATTTAACTGCCGAGCTTGACACATTGAAAAATAAGTTTGAAAATGCAAACTTCAATTTTAAAAAGTTTGATGTGTCAAGTAAGAAAGTAGAGTCCATGATTGAAAATCAATCGAAATTTAAGGATAATCAGAATAAGGGTCTAGGGTATCACAGTGTTCCACCTCCCTTCAATGATAATTATGACCCACCCCCTGAAACCAATAAGGTAGTGAAACATGATCAGTTTGGCCCACGTCTTATACCAGCTTTAGTTAAGACTGAACAATTTGGCCCAACTGAGAATATTGAGGTGAATGATACTAATGCTTCTACTTCATGTGCAGGTAAGGTAGTGGAAGACGAGAACAAGGAGAACATAAATAATTATAGTTTTGTTAATTTTATTGATTGTCAAACAAATGTCTCTCTGAACTCTGAATTTGTTGCTTCTAATTCTGTTACTTCCAACAAGCATGTTGTTGGTAAATACAGGCCGCCAAAACAAGTGAAAAAAACTAGTTGTTATAAGTGTGCTTGTGGGAACGATCAAAGACAAGGCATGGGCACGCTACCAGGGACAGGCATAAACAACTTCTACATGAAGAAACATACATGTTTCCATTGTGGAACACCTGGACACAGTGCCATAAATTATCCAAATTGTGCATATGTTCCTTACTATGCACAAGGTTGGCAAAATATGCCTAGAGGGAGATCTTCCAAAAGAAACCCTTCAAGGTTACGTTCACACAATGGTGACCAGAATGCTATAAAGGGAAAGAATCAATCTCCCAAGGACAAGAAGGAAGTGTCAAACAAGAAGCCAAATTCAAGAGATGGTTCCGTTAGACAAAGATCAATTAGTTCAAAAACATCTCGACGAGCGGTTTCAAGTTCTAAAGCTATAAATAAGGCATCCATCTAATCAAAGAAGAAATGGGTTAAACCCGACTACAGATGGGTACCAAAGGTTCACACTCGTAGATCATCTAATGATTCTAATGTTTCGTCATCTTCTGTGTCTGATAAATAGGATATGTCATGGGAGAGATTACCTTGTGTAGATGATAAATGGCAACCCAGCTTCAAAATGGATTGGGTCCCAAAGACCAACTTATCTCGCACTCTATGCTAGATCAGTAATGGAGGAATATCATCAGACTTCGGTTTGTTGATAGTGGTTGTTCCAAGCACATGATAGGAGGCATATCTCAACTTTACAACATTAGGACTTAAATTGATGGTATGTGTCCTTTACGGGAAAGGAAGAAAGAAGAGGATCACAAATAGGGATAGTACTTAACGGTGTGAAGAATTTTTGAGTTTGCTTACTTCGTTCCAAAAGTGAAACATAGATTAGGCTGAATTTGTTGTTGTATTTGCTTGTTGTTATCAAGTCATCTGGATGCGTCTTCAATTGCTGACTTACGATTTGAATTCTTTCGTTACTCCTGAGTTTTATTCAACTGACGCGTTTCAAAGACAAATTTTTATCTTTGTTTGTTTATATTTGCGCTTTTATTTCCTTTCTCCCCTATGCACAAATTTAGGGGAAGAAATTTAAAAAAAAAAATCAAAATTCAAAAAGATGTTTTCTCCTGTAACTACGCTTAGGAAGTGATATGAGATTTAGTGATAAAGGCCAAGTTAAATTGCTTGACAACTTTGATCCCAAAAGTTTTTGTTTTGTACGTTTTGTATTTTATTTCTATTTTTTTTTGTTCAAATTTTCATATTTTATTATATGCACAAATTTATGGGGAAAATTAAAAAATCAAAAATAACAAAAATAACAAAAACTGTTTTTTTTTTTTTTTTTTCTGTTTTCATAAAATTCAAAAATTACAAAAATATGTTTATTTATGTTTTTTATTTCTTCTTGAGAAAAATCAAAAATTATCTTTATTGCTTTTGAACGTATTTTTATTTTTATCTTTATTCTTAGTTGCTTTGTTTGTGTACTAAGTTTAGTTTTATATTGTTTTTATCTCAAAATTCCGTTTGTCTTGAAATGTGAATTCTTAAGAAAAAGAGTCTCATAGAGATTGTATCGGAATATTCAGAGCAAGGAGAAGAGATTTGGAAAGGAATTGACGGAGGATTCAAATGCGAATGAAAGACTCTTTCATATTGAGACATATACCAGTCTTAAAGGAGTCTTCACATCAAATGTTAATGATCAAAGGTCATTTTCACCATGATTAATGTGAAACACCCAACCATCCTCCACCCATATCTAATATTTCTCCATTAAATCATTTCCATGTATCGGTACCCCTTGAGGTTCGAGTATAGAACAACTCGGTTGACGGTTACCAAAAAGTCTATGTTTGTGATCTTAAAAGTCATTGTCACCATGATTCTAAGTGAAACCCAAAATCCAAAACCCATTTATTTCTGAATTGAAAGTGAACATCTTAATGTTCTAGATATTTTCACCCATGAAATTGATGGATAATGTTTCATACCTGGTGTGACACTGTACAAAATGTCAATTAGGCGGTTTCTTTATAAGAACTATCGTAATTAAGGAATTGAAAGTCTGAAACTGTACAGATTATCAAATTGGTCTTGTCAGCTTTCTTTACCTAAGAACTATCACGACACCAAGGCGATTCACCCTACAAGGAAATAGGTATCGTTAAACGTCTCGCCAAGGGCAAACTCAACTTGTTAACTTGATAAAGTGTATTGAGATCTTTGATCTAGGATATATAGGGGCTAACATCAAAAATAGCCACGAGTAGTTCTCTGATACTCAACAAATTACAATGTGTTCCTACGAGTTCACACAGATACTATGAGTGGTCTCTTTCTGAGCCAAGGCCAAGTCCTTGAACAACTGTGGTGAGAAAGGTCTTTATGATTCTGTGATCCACATGGACTTTTTAGTCAATGGTTACTATTCAAGACACAACGGTGATCGTTAAAGAATACTCATTCGAAGGAACAAGAAGTGAAGATTATTTTTCAACATTCAATTTTTCAACCCTAGAAGCAAGGTGAAGCTGTACTTGAATCTATGTGACAAATTGCATTGAAGCCTCCTCAATCAATTTGCTGCTATCTATGAACTTGCTGAAGTAATCCAGAAGAATTGGTCTCTCTATTATTTTGTCTGAAGTATTTCAAAGCCGAAAGTACTAATTTTCAAGAAGCCTCTACACCCAATGTTTGTTCAAAGTCAAATTCGTAGAAGGAAGTCCAAATACACAAGGTAAAGTCATTCATGCATAAATAAATATGTTCATCTTGAAGTTGTGAATAAATCAAAGACGAAAGTTGAAGCCAAGCACAAATTGAAGACTGAAAAGAAAAGAAAAAAATAAACCAAGGGGGAGATTGTTAGGACTAAATTATGGTTTATTCTAAGTGAAAAGAAAACTATAAACCAAGGGGGAGATTATTAGGTCATAAATTGTGGTTTATACTTTGCTTTTCATAAGCTATTAGAGTTCTCGGTCTAGGACCGAAAACACCATGTTTTGGTGTTTTTTGGACCAAAATCACATGTTATTTTAGTTCGGTTTAATATTGTTTTGTTTGGGTTTTGGACCAAAATCACATGTTACCGGATGATTAATCAATATATCGTGTGCATATGAAGATTAATTATCTTGTTCTTATTCATCTTTATCTTGCATTATACACTTTGATTGGGATTCCGCACCATCAAAGTGAATCCAATTGATACATAGAAGAATTCAAGACTTATGTCACACCCCAAAACCAAGAACGGCGGAAACGTTCTGGGGCGGAGGACGTCATGTAAGTATCACAACACAGTAAATGTAAATAAGCAAACAACATCATCCATTGCATTAAATATATAATTTTAATACAAGCGTGTTCTGTACAGTATAGACACCAAAAATAACGTATATCAAAATAATAAGATGAGTCTTGAATGCGCTCCATCTTCTCAAAAGCTGGCCTCGGTACCTGTCTACTGATGACCTGAGAATACAAGTTATTTTGAAAGAGTTTATCAGCATTAAGCTGGTGAGTTCATAAGTATTTTAGTGTCGGTATTTGTCATCCAAAAATGTTTGAACATGTATAAAGTATAAGTTTGTAAAATGTATGTAAAGTTTGCAATTGTTTGTAAAAGTTTGAATCTCTCAGAAAAACCTATATTTTCTATTAAAGTAGCCTTCTACCAAGGCTTAACTGTTTTGTATGCTCGTTTGATGTAAAAGTGTGTAATTTCCCAAATGTAACTATCATTTAACAAAATATAGTTTGTACATAAACGTTTAAGTGAGGTTATCACTAAAAATATGTAATGGGTAAATTATTGTAGTACTGTAGCCTTGTATTATAAGAACTACTGTTGTACTAACTACCTTAAACCGGATTTATATTAAGGCATTACGTGATAAATTGCACCATACTATCGACTAGTAACAACGACAAATGAATGGTCGTAATAACGGAATGACGTTTGGCACCCGCAGACCTGCAGGTCCGGCTGTAGCTAGCAGCAAGGT